GGAACGGTCCAGGCAGTGATTTATCTTGGATTTCTGGCAGTGCCCAAAATGTGCTGCTATTGCTAACGTCTTTCCAAACAAAAATAAGGCACAATTTAAGGACTGGACAATTTTAAGGTCAGACGCAGGGCCATCCTTAGGCTCCCTAGGCAGTATTATTAAACTGGTGCGCCTAGGCCCGACTTGCTCTTAGCGACACAAATAGAAGCTTACAGGATTGGAAAACTTGCCACGTGCACTTTATTAAAACCAGCTGAAACTAATTAAGCACCTTCTGCAAGAATCACTAGTGCGCTCAACAGGACAGGAATGCTTAGAATGCGGTCTCGTTTTTCATGTCCTCCTGGAACGTTTGCATCTGCCTGAACATTTGCACCTGCAAAACAGTAAAATTATTAAGTAAGCTGGCACTGCCCCCAGCCATTTCCAATATAAACCCTCCCTCCCCGTTGCAATTAGCTGTTACTACAGCTTGTTCCATACAGCCAGGCATTCGAAAGATGGCTTGAAAAAGCACATTTTTGGCCACACTGAGTGTCAGATCTGGTGCTAATGGCCAAGCAGAAAGCTATGCTAGGAGACGCTCTATCACCTCATGCCCACCTATAGAATCAACCACAATCCCAGACATTGCACTCTTCAAAGCACAGAGACCGCGAAGTCTGCCAGTAGGGAAAACCCACAGGAGGCAGAGACAGACTCTGCAAACTCATCCTGGGATCTGAGAGTCAAGCTGGGCTCTTCCCGCCTCAAACATCACCAGAAATAGAGATCCGATATGCCAAACTGTGCCCTTAGGGACACTGGAACGTTTCCACTGAAGACTAACGGGGCTACAGGCGATCAAGAGAGGGCACCGTTTGGCCTGCAGTGTTGTTATTACTGGTGATGGAGTGAGAGAAGGAAGAACCCAGCTCGATCTAGAGTTCCTTGCTCCCATCATGGCCCTGACAGTTCAAGCTCCATTTCTCCTTCTATAAACAGACCACAGGAGATACAGAGCAATGGAGAGAAAACACTGATCCCCGGGATGCTTCTCTTAATGTCACTTCTCACAGCAGGCTCCTGCTTCCAAATTATGCTAAATGCTCATGGGATTCTCACAGCACAGTTGATAAGGGAACGTCGCTGACCTACCTGGGGTCTTTTTCTGCATAAGCAGGACAGTTTGTAAAGTTTGGGGACTGTTCTCATATAAACTAGCATGACAGGTGTAGTTCCCAAAGTCAGCAGGGGTTACATTCTTCAGTAGCAGAGACGCGTTGCCCTCGGACAATCCCTGAGAAGAGAACTCCGTTCTCCCCTTATATTGTCCACACTGATATTCTGGATGGTTCTTGCCATTGTAGTAGCTGTTCACAACTTCACTACTCCCTGACCGCTGCCAGTTAACTATAGGGTGTGGAAGACGGACAGCGTCTCTACGTTTGACATTGCAGGGCAGGAGCACATCTTCACCTACAGCCGCTTCAGTTCTGACAGGGTCACTGGCTGAGAGAGAGAAGGAGAACATGGGATCACTCAAAGTCAGCTGAAACCATTTCTATTGTCCTTAAGCGATACAGCCCCTAGGGCCGTGGCTGGCTGGAATCACAATGCTCATTCTAAGGCGAATTCAAGAACAAAACGTTCGGGGCAGCTAAGTTGCCTCAGGACATAACCCGTCCACCCGAAGCGTTAAAAGCACAGAAGGACGTAGCTAAGGAGAAAGGCTCCTGCGTTCCTTTCCATCCTCATCTTGCCCACAATGCTGTCGATAACACGCCAACGCTCAGCTCCCATCTCTGACAGATCTCCAACCGCAATAGGTTCCCCAACGTCATCGCACTCACACTCGGAGGGAAACCCCAGAGGCTCGGCTGGCAGCGGATCCATCGTCACACCTTCCGTGCATTATGGGCCAGCCCAGAACACCCGGCACTGCCGAGACCGACAGCGAGGTTTTGCCTCAGTGAGTAAGAGACCTGCACCGCCGGGGGGAACTTCCCGGCAGAAGCTGCTCCTGAAGGGCGTGGGGGGCTGTGACATCTCAGTAAGTTATTTGTGGTCAGACCTACTGCCAGGGCCGGCTCTAGGCACCAGCGCTCCAAGCATGTGCTTGGGGCGGCACTTTCCATGTGCCGCCCCCCTTTTTTCCCTTGGGGCGCAAAAAGCCGGGAGCCGGCCCTGAACCAAGATGTTCCCTGTCACCTGCGGCTTTCAGGCTGACACTGCAGGTCTGGCTGCAGTCGCTAGATGGCGCTCACGGCAGCCAGAGTCGCACAGGCTGGACGGCAGTTCCGG